ATCTTGTCTGCATCTTCTCTCGGCTCCTCAAGGGACAGGCGGACCGTGCTGCACCTTTGGACTGCCGTGTCATGCGCAGTGCCGTGCATGTGCTGGGTGCCAGTTAGGCCTGGTGGGTGGGGGAGACCTGCTCCCCTGGAGCCGTTTAGAGGCCACAGGATCGGCTGGAAGTCACCGCCCTCAGCGCTGCAGTCTATCACTCCCATGCGGGAGGGGCTGGGGTCCCCTCCAGCCCCTTCTGCCAGAGCCACCTTCTGTGTCCAGGAGATCCCTCTGGCCTGGCCTGGCCCACAGGGCTACAGTGCTGTCTCATCTTCCCAGGACAACTTGGGCTTTGTTGCCCTGGCTTCAGACGAGGTGGCCATGGTGCAAACTTCACTTGGGTTTGAAAGCAACTTGGCCAGGCTCAGATGGGCTGGGAGGGAGGTGGCTGCTGCCCTTGATGGACAGAGGTCAGCTGTCCTCTCTGCAGGACGAGGACATTAGGGCTGAAGCCATGAGGCCCCCAGCATCCCTGGGTTTATTCATGTGGCCCTGGCACAGACGTGGGGGCCTCCTTCCCCTCTGAGGAACTCCCCAGTAAAAAGCCCCACTTTACAGATGAGGAAATGATGCCTGAGAAGGCTACGTCAGATGTTAAAGGCCATGTCCGAGCCGCTGTTGCCCCGGCCACGGTCGTGTGCAGCCCTGTGGCGCTGCCCCAGGGAGACCCACAAAGAGCCTAAGGAAGGGTGAGGTGGGCAGAGCTGCAGGTGGGCTGGGCACAGGACAAGGGCTGCCACCAGGGTGGAAATGACCGGAAGCTTCCTGCCACCAGCGGCCTCCAGCTGCCTTCCCTGTCCTCGTCCTGCCCACTGGGTGCCGACGGACTTGGTGGTGACTAAATCCCATGGTGACTAAGTTCCAAAGCACAGAAGCAGACACGCGGTGGGGAGGGACACATGTTTCCCCCAGGGCACCGACAGCCAGGGAGGGCAGTGCTGTGACCTCAGAGCCATCCTGCCCCTGCTTGGCGGGTCCTCCAGCCCCTTCCCACTCGTCCTTCTCGCTTCTCTTCCCCCTCCTGTCCACTTCCTCTCCTCGAGCTCCCTCTCCTCCCCCCGGCCCCCTCCCTCTTTTCCCCAACCTTATTTCCCTTCTTGCTGCCCTTCCAGGTGTGACAAACTGTGATCCAGCTCCGACTCTGCACTGGGGTTGGGTTGGGGAGATCCCCGGGTCCCTATGGCCCTGGCCTCTGTCCCAGCCCCCTCCATCACCCCCAAGCCCAGCTCACGGTACTTTGGCGCCAGTGCAGAAACTTGGCGTGGCTGAGGGGCGGGCTGCCCACGTGCGTGGAACTTGCTGGCTTGCTCTCAACTGTGCGTGAGTCACCACCAGGAGACGACGCGATCATCACAGGGACTGGCGTGGCCAGAAGAGGGCTGCGGAGCCCCCTCCCCCCGTGCCACGAGGGGGGCAGAGACAAGGCGGCAGTGAAGAGACTGTTGCGCCTGCACGCCATGCCCTCCAGCCTGGCTTCAGCCACAGAAGGGAGCCTCAGCGCCAGGTGGTCCGCGGCCAGGGAATGTGAGCGCGGTCAGCACCCCGGACAGCGCCCCAGACCCCAAATGTCCTGGCTCAGCGCCCGGGACCCCTCACCGGCTACCACTGCTTTCTGCGTGGCGCCCTGGACCTGGCTGGCTCTAGGCCTCCAGGAAGCCCTGCACCCACTCCCTACTGTGTCAGCCTGCCTGGAGCTGACCACAATGGGCGCAGGGCCAGACAAGCAACCAGTGCACAGCAGGGCAACGGCTGCCGTCCCCCCCTACAGGTGCTGCTTGTGGCCTGCTGTACTCTGACGTCCTCAGGGACTTGGTCCTCGGGCGGCCGCTGCTGACTGAGGTTCACACGCCTCCGCAGCCACCTCAGCTTCCTGCATGCTCTCCTTCCCTCTTTCCCCCTCAGCCCCAGCCCCGGCGGCTTGCTTCCTGCCTTCCCTGCTGGGCCCCACCCTCAGCGGGCACAGGCACGTGAGCGACCACCTGGGCTTGCATGCGTGTGCACATGCGTGTGCCCCAGCTGAGGGCCGAGTATCGGAGCTTCAAGGGCTCCTGCTTGCTGGCCGGTCTGGCTCCAGCTTCTGGTTTGAAATTGTGTACAGAAAGCAAGTGGGCTCTGCTCACTCAGCCACGAGCTAGGTTGGCTCGCAGCTCTCGCTTCTATTTTCATGTGGGGTGCAAGCACCCAAGTGCTTATGTGTGAGCACGTGCATCTGTATGAGCAACATGTGGGACCAGAGGAAGACTGAAACACAGCCCGAGGCCTGCCTTTGCTGCGTGGTTCCTGAGGAGCCAGCTCCTGGGATCACCGTGTGCCCACTCTGTGGCTCCCCTGCTGGGGCCCTGCATGGGAAGTACGGATCCCAGGTGACCTCTCACCGTCACGCATGCTGCTTACACTTCATGTTCACGCTGGGCATTTGCTGAGTCCCGCTGTGTGCTGAGCTCTGGGATTGGTCCCCTTAGGGTGTGCATAAGCTTTGGGGTCTCCCTGGGGACTGGTGGAGCACTCCTGGGCATGTCTAAGTGGGCCCAGGGGGTGACTTTGGAGGCCCCTTCCTCTCTGGCTCTCGTCCTCTGTGCTCTGCTTCCCAGCCACTGCAAACTAAGTAGCTCTGCTCCGCTGTGCCCTTCCGCCATGATGCTCCTGCCTGGGAGCCAGCGGACCATGGACTGAACCTTCTGAAACCGTGAACCAAAATAAATCTCTCCTCCTCCAAGCTGCTGGTGTCAGATTATTGTGTCCCAGTGATGGGAAAGCTGACTGATACAAAGGCAAGTACTCCTACTGCAATGAGCTCTTGGCTCTGATGGCAGGTGGGAAAGAGCTGGTAGTGTTGCGGTGTGGCTGGCTATGGAGAGCTGGAGTGGGGGCAGCATGCCAGGCGGGGGCACAGGAATGAAACCCACCATCACCGTGGTCCACCCATTGTTCCCAGATCGCTGAGTGTCCCCCAGGACACTGTCCAGGAACTTCCAGGCTTCGGTTTAGGGACACATTGGTGCCCAGCCACGTGGAGGCTCAGTGCAGCGTGATCCGTGTGCACCAGCATGGGAGGAGCAGACCAAGGGCCCCTGCCCCCTCACTTCCGCTTTCTTTCTTCACCCTCCCAGCCCTGGGCCATCCCCACAGGACTCAGGTGGCTGTAAGACCGCAGGCCCCAGCAGCGGCGGACAGGCTCCCATGGGACTTCACCCCTGGGCTCTGCGGACACAGGGGCCACCTGAGCATGTGGCATGCGGCATGTGACACCCCCAACCTGGAGCCCATAGCGAGACAGTGAGGTCTTGGGTGCTTCTCTCTCTGGCACTGTGACTTTCTAAGGCTCTACACACACTGCAGCACCCGTGGGTGTGCTCCTTACCAGCACAGGCAGGCAGGCCTTGTGTGGCTGCTCCTTACACCTCCCTCTGAAAAGACGCTTCTGCAGAGATGTTTATGGGTCATGCAGGGGTGCATGCCTGGAACTGCAGTTCTTTGAGAGGCTGAGGGCTGGGGATATAGCTCAGCGGCAAAAGCACTTGCCTGGTAAGCGCAGTTCCCAGTACCAGAAAACAAAACAAAACAGACGGCTTTGGGAGGCTGAGGCAGGAGGTTCACAAATTCAATTCCAACCTGGTTGATTTAGTGATTTAATGAGATCCTGTCTCAAAATAGAAGATAAAAAAGGACTGGGGCTGTAGCTCAGTGCAAAGGCTCTGGGTTCAATCTCCAGTTATCCCACCCTCAAAAAAAAAAAAAAAAAAAAAAAAATTGAGACAGACAGAGAGAGAAAGAGAGAAAGGAGAAGGAATAGGAAGGATATAAGGAGGAGGCTGAGGGAAAAAAAAAAAAAAAAGACAGAAAAGAAAGAAAAAGAAAGCAAAGAAAACAGAAATGTTTTGTAAATCATAATGTGTAATTCAAATAAAATGAATGCTTCTCAGGAATAATAATACCTATAGGTACATGGCCAGGAAGCTATTAAAAACGTGGAACGGGAGCTGGAGTGTGGCTTAGAGCCACAGTGCTTGCCTGGCCTAGGCAAGTCCTTGAGTCCTAGCCCATCGATCACTGCATCATCAATCAGTCGATCAAAATAAATCCAGCCTGGGCAGCTGTTCATGTTCCAGCGTGCGACGCGGCTCGAGCTTCTCTCCCTGGGTCCTGGAAGGCGCAGACCCACCCGGCGTGGGGTGCGGGTGCAGCCTGCTCACGCCTGTCTCCATGCCCTTCCGAGACATGTCTGCCTGGCACTGTCCCCGGGGCTTGGGACACGGGCATGAGACGGGTACTCTGGTCCGGTGCACAGGGGCAGATGTACACACACCCGTATGGCCGTGTCACAGCCGGTCTGCAGCAGGAGGGTCCTGCCCTGCCCCGGGGACCTCCAGCCCGGGTGGCTCCAGCTGGGCAGGGGCACAGGGCAGGGCCCTCTCATTCCCCAGGTACAGCCTAGGAGCTTGGGCCAGGCCCCTCCTGGTCACCGCAGGACACCTTGGCACCCTAAGAGCGAGACTTTGATACCTGCTCTAGGGAAGGGGAGGCAATTCACAATGCGGGACACTCGCCCCTCCCCCCACCCGACTGAGGCCCGGCACGGGTGGCCTGGCCTGGCTCCCTGCTAGCCAGGTCAGTGCTGGGCCGGGACCCTGCCCCCACCCAGGCGCGTCCCATCCAGGAACCAGGGGTTTCCTGCAGGCATTTGGAGCTGGTCCCGGGTGGGAGGAGGGGCAGCTCCCCTGGGGGGCGGGGGCGGGATTCCCCAGGGGGTGGGGGGCTGCCTGTTTATCTGCACTCCTCCTCCAGCCGCATCCTTCTGGGTTTCTGACGCTGCCCCTGTAACCCGACTCCTGCACGGCCATCCGGGCGGGCGCCCCCCCTGAGCCGGGGCGGGAGCCCAGTGCCACATCACCGCGCCCACCATGCTGCCGCTGCCGCTCGCCGTGCTGGTCGCGCTGGCTGCCACCGGTAAGGTCCGCTGTCCCCTTCCTGGGCAGAGCGCACGCCCAGCCAGGAGCTCCATCCCCTTGGTCCCACAACCGACCCCCGTCAGGCAGACCTCCCCAGAGTGCGCCCCAGGGACCCTGGACCACGGGAGGGACCCTGGTCGCTAAGCGCATGGGAGTGGGGACCCCTGGGGACGGCAGAGAGCTGGGGCTGGGGTGGAAGAGGGCAGGGCAGGTCTCCAGCTGTGTGGGCACAGGAGGGGGTGCAGTGGCCCGCAGGCTGCCCCCCAACAGGTGCCAGGACCGTGCGGGTCAGGAAGCTGTGTTGCCGCGTCCCTGTCCTTCCAGGAGTCAGGAGGGCCTGGCGCTGCATGCCCTGGCTGGGATGTGGACCACAGCGCCGGCAGTGGGCAGAGGGCGAGTGCAGGGCTGGGCTGGATCCTGCCTGCGTCTGGGGCAGGAAGACCGGAGGCACTGGGACCGGTGTGCCTCCCTGTGGCCTCACTGACCAGGTCCCCACAGCTGGGGCCTGGAATCCTGGCCAATCACCCCGCCAGGAGCTGGCCTCAGTTTCCCTGCTGTGGTGGGCCTCGTCCAGGGCGGGGGTCTTCATCAGCGGCAGACACCTGTGCTCCAGGAGGGCTGGGGCTCCTGGGGGCGGAGGGCGCGGGTGTCAGGTTTGTGGACACCTGAGACCTGCCGACTGGCCGGTTCCCTCTGCGGCGCCGTGGCGCCCTCCCTCCTTCCCTCAGCCAGGGCTCCCCTCCTCCCTGCCCGCACCCCTCACCTCTCTCTCTCCCTTCTGCGCGTGCGGACAGGACAGCGGACAGCCAGGGCCCAAGGGCTGTCATCATGACCCGCGCTGCGCCCCAAGCTCCCCGGAAGTGCCCAGACCCTCCTCCAGGACGCCCTCCCGCCCCGCCCCGTCCTGGTGGTGGTGCGGGCTGCTTTCTCCTGCAGCGCCTCCCTGCCGACGAGCCTGGGGGTGGGTACAGTGCTCGGGCCGGGGCCTGGCCCTGCAACCTGACCCCAGACCCTGCTGTGTGACCTGGAGAAGACGACCGCCTCTCTGGCCTGGCTCAGCTCCCTCCTCTGACGGGGGGGCCCTGTCCAGGAGAAGCAGCCTGTTGTGCTGAGGAGGGGAGGAGGCGGCGGGCGACCTCCCTCCCTGGGTTGAGGGATGCTGCCACCTCGTGGCCACAGTCAGCCCGCCAAGCCCCTTCCCAGCAGCACCGTCCGGTGGAAATGGACTGCGGGCCACACTTGCCATCTTACGCGTTCTGTAGCCGCACAAGAGACCTAATAGAACCTGGTTAAACTCATTTTAACCCGGCGCGTCCAAAGTATCACTCCGGTGCCCTGTGGTTAGCGCACAGCTCTTGGTGAGACTGTGCTCCCTGCCTTAGTGTGCTCTTACACTCGCGGCAGCTGTGAGCTTCACCTTGCCGCACTCGAGCCCGCGACCGCACACCTGGCATGCGGCTGACCGTGACCGGCCTCCTGCCTTCTCTGTTCCCCAGGCTGCGGGGCTGGGGCCCCGGGGGCTCCTGATGCAGCTCCGTGGGTGCTGGGTGGGGCAGCGGTGGCGGAACTGTCCCTTGCCTTGTGTACAGAAGAGAGGCCCAGAGAGACGAAGCCAGCGGGCGAGGTGCAGCTTCGTCGTCACTGGCGCTGTGGCCACTCTGGGCCTCCCCAGCCATCCCGGCTCCGCTGTGCTGAGCACGGCACCCCCGGGCCCGGGGCTTGCGATGGGCGGATCGTGTCCCCCACAAAAAGACACTAGCGTGCTGAGCTGGGGCCTGGGCGTGTGGTCTTGCTTGGAAGCCACAGTCAAGACGAGATTGGCACGGATCAGGCTGAGCCCGAAATCCAGCGACCGGTGTCCTCAGAAGAGCAGACACGTGCAGGGAAGATGGTCACACGCTCACACTGAGCAGATAGAGTGACAGCGGCCACTCGCGTGGGGGAGACGAGGCCTCTCTTTGGAGCCCCAGAGGGACGGGCCCAGTGCACACTGTGGCTCCCGGCTCCTCGCCCCAGAACTGTGAGCAGTGGCTGTGCCATCGTCACCTGCCCGTCTGTTCTATGCGTGGTGGACACTGGAAGGGGGTGGCAGCCACCTCGGAACCCGGGTGGAGCATGTCGGCACTCACGTGGCACCGGGTGCTGCACACACGTGACCTGACTGGGTCCTCAGCAGCGCATGGGAGCACCCTTGTTGTCTCAGCGTGAGGCAGCAAAACCAAGGCACACAGCAGGACTCACTCCCCAGACCGCAGCTTCCTCACGTGAGGCCAGGCTCTCTGCTCCCTGCCTGCCCCTCCAGGGGTACTTGCTGGTTTTAGAAGCGGACGTGGAGCAGACACCTGCTCGGCTCCTGGTGGCCTCACTTCAGGCTGCCCTTCCCCTCTGAACTGCACAGCGTTCACTGCTGGGCCAGGTGGGCAGCCAGTGACAGTCACAGCCCAAGGGCGGCGGGCACAGGGCCTCTCCCACACGTCCGCCCTCGTCAGAGCTCAGCACGGGACCGGCAGCAGATCCATCGGCAGGTCACGGGCTGCAGTACAAACTTCGGACCTCAACCTCAGACACAGGCTCGCACTGGACGTGGCACGGACAGGCGCTCATGCTGGGCACTGCACGTGGACATCAAGCTGGCCCTGTGGGGCAGAGGCACCTGTGGCTCCACCTGGATGGGTCTCTCAGCCTGCTGACCCCTCATTACAGCTGCCTTTAGCTGCCCTGGGAGGCAGGTGCCAATGCGATGTTGGGGGCGCTGGAACAGACCATCACATGGACGCTGTTGCCCCGACAGGCCGGGGTGGGCACTCCTGTTTCCAAGTGCTGCAGACCAGGCTTCCCCAGCCCACCCTGGGCAGCTGCCAAGCAGGCCTTACCGCCACAGAACACGGTCCCGAGGCTGGGCTCTGTGCTGGGCACTGAATGCGGGTGCCCCTTGGGCCGGCCGCAATACCCCCAAAAGTGCTGAACACAACGCGGGTAAACTGGACAATCAGCGAGAGTGAGACTTGTGCAAAGCCCCTGCTGTGAAAGCGGGTTGGATGCAGAACTGGGGGCCAGTGCTTTCTGCCGCGTGATTGGGACAAAGAGGGAGACCGAGTGGTCGGGGGCAGGCGTCTCCCACGGGCGGGGCCGCACCCAGGTCCACACTGCCCAGAGTCCACGTGGGTCTCTCGTCACCGGTCACAAGGTGGGAGCTGTCCCAGGGCCTCTGGCAGAGGCGCAGTGTCCTGTGAGAACCGTGAGCTGGCTGCAGGAGCGGTCAGGACGGGGGTGGCCCTCTTGCCTGGGGACGCAGCATCTGACCACACTGGGGCTGTCGTGGGCTGCTTCTCACTGTCCTCGGCTGAGTCTTTGCAGCCCTGGCTCCTAGGAGCCTCAGCAGGCAGCGCTGGCTAATGCGGGTCTCGCCGTTGGTCCGAGCGCCTGGTCTTTGGGGGCCCTGAAAGCCCACAGCTGCAAAGATAGCTTTGTGAGCCATGCTCTGTTGAGGGGTGCAATCCGCCGGCTCCTACATCAGGGAGACCCCACCCCACCCTTGCAGAGCGTCCCAGGGGCAGCAGGCAGCGCCCTGCTGGCCCTCGGAGGGCGCTTTGAGTGACCCACGGTTAGAGCCTGCAGTGCCCAGACAGCTCCTGGACCCCAGGACCCTGTGGGAACTCTGTGCTAGGCGGATGGCACTGGGGGTGCCCATGGGAAACTGACAGGCCTGGGCCTGTTTACCCCGGACAGCAGGTCCACTCACACCCCACCAGCCAGTCCAGGCTTTGTGGCCAGAGCGATGCCCTCAGACCCTCACTGCCAATGAGTGCCTGTCCTTAAGCAAGTGACACGACCTCGATGCTCTGTCTTCACCCAGGCTGGGTGCCTGCCACCTCCGCCCCAGGGGCTGAGGCAAGGACAGCATGAGATGTGGCCAGTGGAGGGTGAGCAGGCCGAGTGCCCGGCCAGCATCTGGTGACGCCAGGCTGTGGACAGAGCAGGCTGCAGTGCCACCATGCGGGGTGCACGTCCCTAATGCAATGCCTTCTCTCTCTGCAGGTGACTGCCACGGGCCGGCGGCTGCCGACAGCGGTTCGTACCTGGACCCCCTGGGTTGGGTTTGTAGGCACGCCACAGCCTCCAGTTTAGAGCTGAGCCCTGCTCCTCAGCATGAGCCCCTGGTCCTGTACCTTGAGAGACAGCTGGTTGAACACAGGAATGGACAGGCCCACAGGCACAGGATGGACCACTGCCGAGCGCCTGCTGGCCTGCCCGGTCTTCCCTCTGCCTGCTGCCGGCTGCCACTCCCTCCCCTTGTCTGCACTAGGGGCTGGAGCAGCACCCCTTTGCATCTCATCCTGACATGTTCCTTTCTGGGGGTGGGACGCTAGAGGCTGAACCAGGCTGCATGCATGCTAACGCACAAGCTGCCCCAGCCTGGTGCTCTGTTTCCCGGGGTTCCAGCCCCAGCTGAGCTGTGGGCTTGGGCAGCTCCCACCCTTGGGTCCCAGTTTCCTCTGTGAAGTGAAGAAAGGTTGAGGAATATCACAGGGTGATTTTAAGACTTATGTGTCCGGAAAAAAAAGACTTATGTGTCCGAAATACTCAGGACAGTGCAGAGGTCAAGTACTGTTCTCGGAGGCGGGCAGAGGTTTCCCCTGTCAGTCTGGGCATTCAGTGTTTTGTGCCCGAAGGAACTAGACTCGCAAGAGCCCAGGAAAGGTTTCCCAATGCAAAAGTCGTGCCATAGATCCGGCATTCTGAGCAGAGGAAAGCGGAGCAGAAGCAGCCCCGTCCTTCCTAAGGTTTGACATGGAAAAGTGGCAGAATCTCGGGCTGCGTACCACTTGCCACGTCTGTGATGTCTGGTGCTGAGGGGAGGGGCAGGGGGCATGGGTGGGCACCTGGGGTGAGGGAAAGACTGCTGGAACACTGAGCACAGAGATGTCAGCAGCAGAGGACACTGCCCGCCTCTGCCTGTGCTTCAAATGTCCTGTGATACACAGCTGTCTTTACCCAGCCTCTCATGGAGGCCGTGAGCCCAGACTGGCCACTGAAGGCCAGCCCTTCCCTGGGGGACAGGGGACAGGCCAAGCAAGGAGTGTCTGTGGGGACTGCTCTACTTCAGGATCTGCACAGCCAGTCCTAAGAACGGTGCCATCAGCTTTCTGATGCTGTGACAGAACACCTGATAAAATCAATGCAGAGGCGGAAGGGTTATTCTGGCTCATGGCTTTGGAGGTTCAGTCCATGGCCAGCGGGCCCTGTTGCCTTAGGTCTGAGATGTGGGAGGCACATCATGGCAGGAGAGTGTAGAGGAGGATAGCTGCTCACAGCACGGTGACCAGGACGCAGAGAGGAGTGGTCGGGGACCAGCTGGACCCCAAGGTCATGCCCGTGACCCACTCCCTTCAGTTAGGCCCGCCTCCTGCTCCCCTCACCTGCTATGCATGCCATCAGCTCTGACGCATGGATGAAGTTCCTGGTGAAGCCAGTGTCACCTTCTGAGCACCCTGTTCTGAACACTGGAGAGTCTGGGGGCATTTGAGCTCTAAACCATGGCAAGAGCACTCCCTGGTCTGCCATGGGCCCCAGCCCTCTCCCCGTGGACTGTGGATACCCTGATCTTTATAGCCCTGGCCCCAGATGGGGTCCACTCGAGTGTGGGCCAAGTGTGACCTGTGGACCCTGCCTCCCCCAGCCACCTGCGTGGACCTGCAGCTCACCACCTGTGCAGACGCCGCCTACAACCGGACCGCCTTCCCCACGGCGCTGGAGCACCGGTCGCGCGAGGCGGTGGAGGCCAGCTCCGAGTACATCCTGCTGAGTGTGTTGCACCACCTCCTGGAGGGCCAGTGCAACCCCGACCTGCGGCTGCTGGGCTGCGCTGTGCTGGCCCCCCGCTGCGAGGGTGGCCGGGAGCAGAGACCCTGCCGGCGCGTGTGCCAGGGCCTGCAGGAGGCCTGCCAGCCTGCCTTCGATGCCATCGACATGGCCTGGCCGTATTTCCTGGACTGTGCCCGCTACTTTGCGCCTGAGGAGGAGGGCTGCTTCGACCCCCTGGAGCAGCTTCGGGGTGAGGCGAGGCCCAGGGTGCACCTCGGTGCCTGGAAGCCGGGTGGGACGGGCAGGCGTCAGGGCGTGAGGGGCCTGTGGAGAGACAGGCTTGGCTTCTCTTAAGGACCAGCCAGTGGCGGGGCTGGGAAGCTCCGGAGCAGTGCTTGTCTTGGGGTGCACAGCGATGCCATGGGGCGCGGGCCGCCCCCGGGGCTTGTCTGCATCATCACCCTGAGTCTGTGGTGGGGAGAGGGAGACCGGCAGGGCCAACCCCTGCCACCCGGGCTCTCTGCTCCTGGAAGCTGGAGCATGCATGTTCATCTCACATCAACTGTGAGTGGCAGTTCAGCAGCCCGCGTGGCCAGCGTGCCGTGCAGGGCAGTGCGGGCAGCAGCCTCCCTTGGCCAGGCCGAGGGTCCCGTGGTGTCACAGGACAAGCTCTCACCTCCTGCTCCAGAAGAGAATGGGGGCTCCGGGAGGACAGATGGTGCAGGGTGCGGCTCTGGAGGGACCCGGACCATCGGGGCTGGGCCAGCCACCCATTCTTCAAGATGTGTACCTACTGTGTACCTACTTGAAGATGTGCACCTACTGTGTACACATCTTCACAGTGGGCTGTGGAAGGGAAGAGAGCAGACACATTCCTGGAGGGGTCTCTGGGCTGGTGTGGGGCTCATCCTGGCACTCGGAGCCTCATGCTCCTGGACAGAGGCCAACATGGCTTGGCGAGGGCTGGGGACAGCTGGGTGGTGACAGGCCCTGGAGGAGTGAGGAGGTGGCCAGCGAGGCCCAGGAAGGAAGCCAGACATCTCCACGCCAAGCCCACTGCCTGGGAAAGCCCGAGCAGTGGCTTGAGAGAGGTTATTTTGGGCAGCTTTGCCGCCCTCTGCTTCCTTCCCTCAATGACCACGTTGAGCAGAAGCAAAACCACAGCTCTGTGAGCGGCCCGGGGAAGCGCGTTAACTCTGTGGTCCCCGGCGGCTGCGGCTGCGGTCACTGGGGCAGAGGACAGTCCCCAGGGAAGGCTGCTGGGGAGCGGCTCAGGCTCGGCTGGCTGTGCACTCTCTTCCTGGCAGTGTCAGCGAACGTCCGGGCGCGATGCCAGTGTGGTGGCAGCAGGGAGGAGCCCCCAGAACGCTCTTGCCATGCCTGCCCCGGGGCTGGGCAGCCTGCACCCGACACCCGGTGGGCACACAGGACGCAGAGCCACACGGTGCCACGGTCACAGCAGGTGGTGGTGGTGCTGGAAAACAGCCCGGCAAGAGGCCGTCGGCAGGTTTCTGGGGTGGAGGGTTCGCAGGTGCGTCTTTGTACATGCTGGGCCCTCCCACACCTCATCCTGTGGCTCTGGGGACTGTGCCAGTGTCACTGTGCCGTGTGGGTCTCGCGGGAAGAGCCATCGGCTGTCACCCTTGTTAGGAGCCCTACGCAAGGAGTCATAACGGAAAACACTGCAGGCAGCAGGGCCTCACAGGCGACGTGTGGGTCCCTCTTCCTGGACCCTGCAGGGCAGTGGGTGGCCCGGTGCTGGGAGACCTGGACATCCGGCCCCAGGCCACAGCCGGTGGGCGGGCTGGGAGCCATTGGTGACAGGACTGTCCGCAGGTGACCTGGAGCCCGAGGAGGCGCTGCCCTCTGGCCTGCCGCCCACCTTCATCCACTTCGCCCACCACTCCTACGCCCAAATGGTGCGGGTGCTGAAGAGGACGGCGTCCCGCTGTGCCCAGGTGGCCAAGACTTACAGCATCGGGCGCAGCTTCGAGGGCAAGGACCTGCTGGTCATCGAGTTCTCGGGCCGCCCCGGCCAGCACGAGCTCAGTAGGTGCCACGTGAGAGGCTGGGTTCTGGGGAAGGGCGCGGCCTACCGGGCCTTGGGGTGCACAGGCCGGGGGAGGGAGGTTTGGGGTACCAGGTGTGGACCAAGCTTCGGGGATCTGCTCGGTGCATGGCTGCGTCCCACAGGGACCGCCGCGTAGACAAGTGCGGCCTCCTCAGAGCGTCCACCACACCGGGACTCTGCGGTGGGGCAGGGACTCACCACAGTGGATGCGCTGATCGCAAGGGATCGAGACGGTGTCAGGCCAGTGCAAGCTTTGAAACAGATCGGGCCTCTGGGTCACACCTACTGTCCCAGCCCCTCCGCAGGCCGAGGCAGGAGGATTGCAATTTTAAGGCCAGCCTCAGCACCTGAGCAAGACTGTTTTGTGGCCTTGCCCTTGAGCACCAGCCTGGGCAGGCGGTGAGTCCTGGGTTCTGGTCACTTTCTCCCTCTCTGCCAAGCGGTTCGGGACAGTGCCGCCAGCTAGTGGTGTGGACACTGGCCTTTCTATGGGGAAGACCCAAGTCCACTTGTGCACCCTCCAGCCTGGAGGGCCCATGCCGAGCCAGCAGGGGGCAGTATAGGAAGCCCCAGCCCCACTGGTTCGGTCTTCCAGCAGGACAGTTGGGAAACAAAAGCTCATGGTCTAAAGTGCTGCCGCCAGGAGCTGAGGGGCCGCTTGGGCTGGCTGCCTCCGAGGAGCCAGGCTGTTCTGGTAGAGGCCTGGTTTCCTTCCCCAGGCAGCCTCGGGTCAGTGAGTCCAGCTCCTTCCTCAGCCTCGTCCCCCACCCAGCTGTCTCCAGGACTGTGGGTCGGGCAGGACCCACCCAGAAGCAGCCCTGTTCCATCCGGGGCTCACCGAGTCTCTGAGTCAGCCGCTGCAGGACCTTGCTGGGCAGCCACTCAGCCCCGTCCTCGCCCTGTCAGCCCCAGCAGCGCCCACACTATGAGCTCGAAGGCCTGACCTCCTGTCACAGAGCCTGGGGCCTTCTGGCTGCTCCACCCCCTCCCGCCCTGCGGAGGCCGAAGGAGCTGGCCGCACGGGAGGCCTTTTGCTCATTTGTCCCTTGGAGGGGGCTTCTGAGCCACATGGGCCTCTGCCCGACAGCTGAAGGCTCCTAGGCCGCACAGCGAGGGAGGGAGGTGCCGTCTTCCAGTGAGCAGCCCGAGACTCAGGGAGGAGAGGTGCCATGTCTGTGGTCACACAGCAAAAGGGCTGCCAGGCCTGGTCCACTGCCTTCCACAACCCACCCATCCGCCCGACCCCATTCGTCCACCCACCGCACACACCCACCCATCTTTCACTCCTTCACCCAGCTCTTCTCTTCCTTCTTTCCTTCCTTCCTTCTTTCTCTTTCTTCTACCCACCCACCCATTTATTCATTCTTTATTCATCCATCCATCCACTCCCTCCTTCCAGCCATCCATTCACCTACCCCCTTTCTCTCTCTATCTGTCTGTGTCTTTCTCTCTCTTTCTCCCATCCGCCCACTGGCCCACCCATGCATCCCCGTATTCATCCATCTATCCACCCCCTCGCCCACAGTCCCAGGGCCAGCTCCCTTCCCAGCTGCGCGCTGTGTGTGCTTGACGTGTTGCTCACACATGGAGAGCTGCTGTCAGTGAAATCTCACAAGCCCACAGCCCCATACATCATTAGTAGTACCCTTCACTCGCTGATAACCACACTGAACATAGGACATGAGCTCAACAGACCGGCCGCCCTAGCGAGACCTTGTCGTGTGCAAAGGGCCTGTGTTCCCCTGGTCCCCTTGCTGAATGGTCCCAAGGCTGGGGGCTTCGGGCCGTGAGGTGATGCCCCAAGTCACCGTGTCTCCTCAGTGGAGCCCGAGGTGAAGCTCATCGGCAACATCCACGGCAACGAGGTGGCGGGGCGCGAGATGCTCCTCTACCTGGCACAGTACCTGTGCTCCGAGTACCTGCTGGGCAGCCCCCGCATCCAACGCCTGGTCAACACCACCCGCATCCACCTGCTGCCCTCCATGAACCCGGACGGCTACGAGGTGGCGGCAGCTGAGGTGAGCACCCTATCCTCCCTCGTCCGTGATTCTCTGGCTGCTACAGAGGAACTGTTTGTGTTCAGGATTCCAGGTGACGGGGATTCAGCTGCCTTCTCAGGGGCGAGGCACTGCTGGGGGCTGGGGAGAGACAGGCACTGATCACTCCACGGTGTGCTACAAATGTGGGAGCAGCCTCTATGTCTATCAACAGATGAACGGAGAAAGAAGTGCTGTGTCTACACACCATGGAGCACTACTCTCCATGTGTAGGATAAACCTGAGTCATTGGTAGGGAAATCATGCACCTTGAGACCACAATGTCAAGTGAAATATGTCAGATGTACGAGCTTAAATAGCCCATGGCTTCTCTTGTATGAGACACCCAAAGTATAAAGAGCAAGATAAAAGACGGATAATAGGAAACAGAGATTTGCAAATGGGAAGAGGGAGGAGGAGATGTAAAAAGAACTGCCATGTGTCATGTCCAGTTCCAACACCCCCCAAAGAGTGTAATCTTTATGTATCACAAAGATGTCCTAAGAAAAAGTTGTAAAAGATGACCTGTGCTTGGCGAGATGGCATGAGTCTGTAGTCCCAGCACTTTGGAGACTGAGGCAGGATCGAAAGCTGAGCCCCGGCTGGGCAGCTTAGTGACTTGGTAAGACCCTGTCTCAAAATGGTAAAAAAGTAAAAAGATCTAGGGATGCAGCTCCGTGCAAAGGACCTGGGTTCAGTTACCAGTAGCGAAAGAAAAAAGAAGAAAAAGGTGACGCAGGCAATTGCACCACTCAGGACAGAGACAAGGCGGGTGCAAGTGTGTGTGGGAACCTGGATGCTCTGGGAGGTGATGTGGGTGTGGACGGGGAGGGGCAGGAGCCGAGACACCACGAGCTCATCACCCTGAGCCAGAGGCAAGCCCCAGTCCCAGCCCCTACTCTTGGCCCAGCTGTGCCTGCCTGGAAGGAGTCCGTGGCCCAGTGCTGAGCCCAAGCTGCCGTGCCTGTGTTTCAGGGTGCCGGCTACAACGGGTGGACCAGCGGGAGGCAGAATGCACAGAACCTGGACCTGAACCGGAACTTCCCGGACCTGACGTCCGAGTACTACCGGCTGGCGGCAGCGCGGGGCGTGCGCACCGACCACATCCCCATCCCGCAGTACTACTGGTGGGGTAAGGTAGGAGCTGGCTGCCCGCGCCCTGGCCCTCAGCCTGGCCCCTGCCTCTGTGCCCACCCTGGGATGTGGGTCGTGCTTGGCAGGTAGCTGGTGAGATCTTTGCTGGGGTGCACAGCTCTGTGTCCTGCCCGGGCCGAGCACTGGATGTCAGGTGACCAAGGCGCTGTGTAGGTCCGGGTGCTGTCCCCTTTGGGGCTGGCTGTGCTGTGGAGGGAGCACCCACAGCTGCCCTCCGCCCAGTGCAGGGTGGCAGCCAGAACTATGGATCCCCGAGTGGCATGTGGCCCTCCTTGGCCAGGGGGAAGTCATCCAGATGAGGTCCTCACAACACAGGGGACCCACGGTGTGGCGCACAGGCTGGCCGTGCCCGTCCTGAGGACTGCATCTCTGTGCTGGCAGGTGGCCCCTGAGACCAAGGCTATCATGAAGTGGATGCGGACCATCCCCTTCGTGCTGTCCGCCAGCCTCCACGGGGGCGATCTGGTGGTGTCCTACCCCTTCGACCTCTCCAAGCACCCCCTGGAGGAGAAGATGTTTTCCCCCACGCCAGATGAGAAGGTGCGGGGTGGTGAGTCCCCACGCGGGAGCTCCTGGGGTGTGGACGCGGGCCACACCGGCTGAGTCCTCCGAGGGCGCCCTGCCCGCCAGGAGGGTGCGTGTCCGGACGAAGCCGGCAGGGGGCACTGCTGCAGCGTGCATGGTCCCCTTCCCGGGCCTGGCGCTCTTCACTGGGCTCTCCAGTTTCAGACTGGAGGTGACAGGGCCGGGACGCAGCATCCCCACGCCCCAGGGCTCCCCGAGGTCCTCCGCCTGGACACAGCCCCGCGCTGGGTCTGGAGCTCCCCTCCCAGGGTGTGGTTGACCGAGGCGAGGGCCGGTATAACTCGAGACGGGCCGCAGCCCAAACCCAGGTGGGCGGAGCCTCAATGGGGCTTCAACCCTGAACCGTCCCGGCGCCCCCACCCCGTCCCGCCGGAGGACCACGTGCGGCCCGGCAGCGGGAAGCAGGGGCCAAAGCTCAGGCGGCACGCGAGCCTGGGGCGTGGCACGCGGGGGCGTGGCTGGGGCGTGGTCAAACGGGGCGGGCGGGGCCAAACTGGAGTGGGCGGGGCCGCCCTGGGCCGGGGCGGGCTTCGGTCCCTCCCGCTCCGCACTGCCCCTGCGCCCCTCCGCACACCGAGGTGAGGGCTGGCTCCGTGCTACAGCTCCTGAAGCAGGGTGGTCTCCCCCGTGGTCACCCCGGGCAGGGCGGGTATCTTTGGGCTGGGTCTCCGCGCGAGAAAACGGCCCCGGGGGTAGACACCTCAATGAGTCCCACCAGAGTGGGCAGAAGTGAGCCGTTCCCACCAGCCATCGATCACCCATCGATCACTCCCTGCCGCCTGGAAACCAGCGCCCCTGGGAGGCCGGGTCAGTGCGGGCGCGAGCACCGGCTGGCGCCCACCTTCTTCAGGGCCCCGGTGCCTGCACGGCTCCACACCCGCCTGCTGTGACGCCTGCTCCAGCTGGTGCCCGCCCCCACCCAGCGCGGCTGTGCTCCTAGCAGTGGGCTTTGCGGGGTGCCCGGCCAGGTCACTCCACGCTTTCCTCTCACCCCTAACCCCAGGGGCTGGCCGGTGATGAGGGGTGACCCCAGGACAGGGGTGTGAGGAGGAGCAGGGTGTCCAGGTGCTGGACTCCTCGACCAATATGTGTTCTGGGTGGAGAGCGAGGGTCAGGGCTCGGGTGCAGCTCGGCAGCCCCCATGGCCCAGTGCCCCTCATGGAAAGGCCCGGGAGCAGTGACCCGCAGGCACGGCGGCTCTGCCCAGGGGTGGCAGGGGTGGTAGTGCCTGACCCACCAACTTGGGGGACCAGAGGACACGAGTGGCCTTGGCTGCCTGGTTTGCATTTGAGGAGTAGGCCCACCCTTGCCACCCCAAGCCCCAGATCCTGGGCTCCAGGTCAGGATAGCCCACTGGGGAGGGCTCTTTGCTGTGGTGCGGGGGGTCTGTGTCGCTGAGCCCTGCCTGTCCACCCTCCTGGTGTCCCCTCCCCAGGACAGCTGTGTCCCAGTCATGGAGCCCTGGCAAGGCCGTGTGGGAGCAGGTGTGGCGGTGGGACGGTCGCTTGGGGACCCTGTGCCTTCCTGGGGCTGCAGAGGATGAGCCTGCTGTGGGCAGATGTGGGGGGAGGCAGGTCCCAGCTGTGGAGGAAGCCGCGGTGCTTTTGGCCAGGGAGGGACCTTCCGCAGGGAGCCCACAGCTGGGTGCGGGTGGCTGGGAGGAGGTGCGATGGTGTCTCACGGGCAGAGTCGGTGTGGGGATGAGGTTCCTGCAAGCCGCCCGCAGGCCTCTGTCCCTCTGCCCAGCCTCCCCTCTGTGGGCTGCGGGCACTGCTAAACTGCAGCGCTGAGCTCGGCGGGCCAGCCAGCGTCCTCCACAGCCGGGTGTGGGGGCTCAGCGGTCACTCATCCCTGTCCGCAGCACAGCGGCCTGGCGCTACTGCCACCACCTCCAGGCCTGTGCCCATGCCCTGCCCTCTGCAGGGGCTCCGTGCCCTCCCCTATGGGGCCAGGGGCCCATCTACACCACACTGGGCCTGGCTCTGGGGTCCTGAAGAGCCCGTTCCTCTGGAGTTGGCCCGACCCGACCTCTCTCCTGCTCTTTCTTTGCAGATGTTCAAGCTTCTGGCCAGAGCCTACGCCGACGTCCACCCTATGATGATGGACAGGTCGGAGCACAGGTGCGGGGGCAACTTCCTGAAGCGGGGCAGCATCATCAACGGCGCCGACTGGTACAGCTTCACGGGAGGTGTGTGCTGCGGGGGTGCTCAGCGCCCAGGACAGCCTGACGGGGCAGGCGGCTCTGCTGTGTGTGTGTGGGGGGGAGCGCTGGGCGGGGCCTGGCTTGTGTTGTAGTTACTCTTTATGCTAAAAGGGCAGAATGTGCCACCAGGCCCAGGGCAGGGTGTGGCCAAGCTGGCCCTGGGACCGGCCCAGCTGCCCTTCCTGTCCTTTGTCTTATCACACGCATGTCACAGCTCTGCTTGTGACCAGTCCTTCCCTGCCCTGGGGAGCTAAGCAGGCTGGCCGGATGGCGCGCTGGAGCCCCAGTCACTGGCGTTCCAGACACCGGCAGGTTTAGTGCTGTGTAGAAGGCTGGCCCAATGCACGGTATATGGTCACCGCACGGCAGCGCAGGACCTACATGCACTAAGTCCTATACTGCACTAACCGGGCACCTGTACTTTTACCGGCTGCAGCTATCCCGGCGTGGGCATCCAGGGTGCTATGAAGGTGACCGTGCCGTGCCACACATGTGGATGCCACCACCATGTGTCCCTTCCCTGTGTCCGTGCCCACCCAGCGCTTCGTAGTTGTACTGTTCTGCAGACAAGGACAGGGAGACTCCTCCAGAGCTGTGGCCTTTGGTGGCCGGGCGGGACTCATGTCCCCCTCTCTCCTCTTGCCCTGGAGCCAAGGTCAGGCCCCAGTGACATCCCCTGCTGTCCCCAGTGACACATGCTGCGTTCCCTGTGAAGGGAGGCTTCCCTTCCTCCCAGGACTTGGACGCACGTTTGCAGCCCCTGGGCTGTCGTGGCTCTGTTGTCCCTGCTGTCCCGCTGCCAAGGTCCCCAGGGTGGGCTGGGCCGGGAGAGGCTGACCACAGCCAGGGCCGACCACGTGCTGGGCTCAGAGCGGCCCTGAGTTCTGAAGGGCGGGCTCCCTGCTCCCCGCCTTGGTCCCCGCTCCGCTGCCCTGGAGAGGCTGGGACTTCAATGGCCACGAAACTCCGGCCCACGGGGTGCGGGCTGGGGATGAAGTCCCCGCTCCTCGCCCTGCACAGCTGGCTGGGTGTTCACTCTGCAGGCCAGATGTTCCCTGGGAAATGGAGTCAGGACCCCTGGTGCCAGAACAGTGTCAGGAATCAGACATTATTGTCATCAGCAGCAGCCTGGGGCCTCCGGGCCAGGGCAGGGCCAGGAGCTGGGACAGGAGGCTGTGTGCGCCCCAGGCTGCCAGATCCTCATGGTGACACAGCGCCCCCAGGGTTAGTCCAGCTCCGTGGCCCCTGGCGGACCCTTCCATGCTCAGCACACCTGCCGTCTGCGAGGGGACGGTGGCCGCCTGTGCAGACGTCACAGGATGCCCACACACCCGATGGCCTCTGCTGACGCCCCTGCCGGTCCACAGGCATGTCCGACTTCAACTACCTGCACACCAACTGCTTCGAGATCACGGTGGAGCTGGGCTGCATAAAGTTCCCGCCTGAGGAGGCGTTGTACGGGCTCTGGCAGCACAACAAGGAGCCGCTCCTCAGCTTCCTGGAGATGGTGCGCTTGGGCAGGGCAGGCTCACCTGGGCCCTCTCTGTCCCCGGGCTCCGTGTGGCCTTCTTGAGCCCAGGGGTGCTGGGGCGCAGGGATGGATGGTCAGATCTGGTGAGCAGAGATCTTACGATTAAAGGGGTGCTGTTAAAGAAGGGGTGTGGGGGTGGCCTTAGAGGCCAGGGGGCATCCTGGAGGAGGTGGGTAGCCAGCTTCAGCTAGGAGGGGAAGCCAGGCAACTAGTCAGGGAGGGCTCTGGGTAGAGGAGCGCACGAGACCCCGGGCTTCCTGAGGCTGAGCTGAGGGGAGCGGCGGAAGGCACAGGAGCGCTGTGTGGTGGAGGGGCTCTGGTACAGGGCATCCTCGCGGCCGGCGGAAGAACCAAGAGTCAGGGCTTGGGCAGAGGGTGCCTGCCGGCGGGTCCTCCCTGCCTTGGGGCTGTGGTCACAGAACACAGCGGGGGGCAGGAGGACAGTACAGAAAGCCCTGCTGGTCCCGGAGAGCCTAGGTCTCCCTGAAACTCAGTGTCACAAGTGAGGGGCACTGAGCACTCACCGCCCGCCGCCTCACCCAGCACCGTGCAGAGGGGTGGTGGGATTCTGAGACTGTGGGGCGGTGCCCGGCAGTGGGCGGCCAGCGGACTCGCCTGGCCTCTGAGACGGCCAACCCGGGTGGCCGGCGCAGCCTGTGATAAGATCGAGCCTGTCGGGGCCAATTGAGGCTTTTCTCATCATGATGCTGAGCAGGCCCGGAGTGGGGGTCCACGGGGCCCTGCCGGGAGGGCAGGGCAGCGCCATCTCTGTCCTTGCGCGGTGTCTATGCCCTACACGGCGCAGAACCAGCGGCTGCCGTGCCAGGTGGCATGGTGAGTGGGTCCCGTGTGTCCATCTTGCTCTTGGTGGACACAGGAGGCAAAGGAGACATGACAGTTGGCTGGGCTGGGAGATAGGAAGGGAGGAAGCCAGGGATGGGGCCGGGCCCAGTGAGTGTGGAAGCCGGAGGCGGCCTGGCAGAGGGGCTGAGTCCTGGATGCCAGGTGGGGCTCAGGGCCACCCACTGGCAGAGGTGCAGAGGGCACGATGACCTCTTGCCATCCACTCTGCGCTCACTCCGCTCTCTGCTGCGGGATTTCTGCGGGAGGGGACGCAACGAGGACAGGAGGACGGGATGCCAGCCCTGCCCTCCCACTGTGTCGGGAGAGGCCCTTGAGAGGCGCCTGCCGCAGATCCAGTGACCTGATCCCCCTGAGCCGCGTTTGGCCAGGACGGAGGAGAGGAGGTTCACAGGGACTTGTGGTGCCCTCTGGCATGGGTGCTGGCCATTCCTTCAGCCTGGTGGGTCAAGCAGGCTGGACCGGGAGGGAACCACGGGAGGGAACCCGGGCCACTCACTGACCTGCAGGGCACCATTGTGGGCTCCACTGGGGCTTGCCCATCCCTCAGTCACAGCTAGGAAGTGGGGCCCAGAGAGGGTGGTGACTCACTGGGACCCACACAGCATGGGGGCCAGGGAGGGCACAGCATGGCCCATCTGGCACCCCCGCCCCACAGGCGCACCGGGGCATCAAGGGCATGGTGGTGGACAGATTCGGAAAGCCGGTCAAGAATGCCCGCATCATCGTCAGAGGCATCCGCCACGACATTACCACAGGTGAGCATGGCTGGCCGCGCCCCAGGACGGCGTCAGCTGACATCACAGGTACGGGGGCAGCGCAGGTGCTCTCTGTCCTGAGCCAGTGCGGCCAGGAGGGCTGAGGCGACCAGGTCTCCCTCTGCCTCCTGCTGTGGCTCCAGGAAGGGATTGTGCAGCTCCCGAAGGGCAGTTGCTGTGTTCTGTGCCATCCCAGCAAAGGCCACCACCCCAGAGATGGCAGGAGGAGCCACGTCTACCCACACGCTGTCGTGTGTATCCCTGAGTTCACATCCCAGTGAGGAGCTGCCTCAGAGCCGATTAGCAGACACAGTACATATGTGCCTTACCAGCCAGGGCTTTGAGGGATGACTAGGAGTTTGACAGAAGGAGGAGGTGGGAAAAGTGTTCCAGGTAGATGCAGAGGGAGGGGCAAATGTGGGGCAAATCTGTCTGCCCCTCGTGCTAGCCCCCCCAGCACCCGTCACTCACCCTGAGACTGCGTTCGCAGCTGGGCTTTGAGGTCCTTTACATTCTCTTTGAAGCTCCCGATGGAGACTACTGGAGACTGCTGCCGCCAGGGTCGCACGTGGTCGTCGCCCAGGCGCCCGGCTATGCCAAGGTCATGAAGAGGGTCACCATCCCGCTGCGGATGAAGAGGGCTGGCCGCGTGGACTTCATCCTGCAGCCGCTGGGCGCAGGACCCAAGAAGTTCTTGCCCGCGCTCCGGAGAGCAGCGCCCCACTTCCGGGTCGCACGGGGCGGCGTGACCCCCTGGAGGGACCCCGCAGAGCAGGACCCCGAGCCCCTCGAGCCCCTTGGGGCACACAGGCTGCCCTCGGCCGGCGGGAGCAAGCCCTGGTGGTGGGCCTACTTCACCTCACTGACCCCCCACAGGCCGCGCTGGCTGCTCAAGTACTAGGCTGCCCGCTGCCGCTGCCGCAGGGGCCTGGCTCTTGATTCTCTCCGCCACAGATGTCGCACAAGCCACAGCCGTTTTATTAAAGGGGTTTTTCACCATCTGCTGTGACGAGGGGCTCCATGGGGCGGGAGGACCCTGGGTCCACAGTGAGATCCCAGGGTCTGCACTGGCCTTCCCCAGACCATGAGGCCTAGAGTCGGCCTCACAGGAGGGAAACTGAGGCAGGGTGGGGGCAGAAGGGTCACTCAGGGCCTATGTGGCAGGTTGGTGTCCAGGGGAGTTAGGACCAAGGTGGGCATGGAAGGGAGGACTGAGGTGGCAGAGTCACCCCAAGGCATGTCAAGGCCAGCGGGTGACAAGGACCTGGCCCAAGGTCACACTGGAGGCTCCCACAGGCCCTGGCTCCAGGAGATGATCTGCCTCCGTTTCTGTCTCATCCTTGGGACATGACCAACTCCTGTCCAGGGACCTGTGCAGACCCATGGGGCCCCCTAGTCCACCAGTGTCACTGCCAAGGGCAGTGAGTCCCAGGGTCTGCCAGGCAGGGGCCTCGTGGAGAGTGTGGGTAGAGAAGGTGTATCTGTCACCTCGGGCTGCGTAACAAAGTGCCACAGACAGGGTCTAGACAGCAGATGGATCGTCTCAGGCCGGGCCGGAAGACAGACCAGCTGCGGCAGGCATGGCTGTAGACAGCGGTTGCTCCCTGTGTCCCTCTGTGTGACTGTCTCAGTGTCCTCTCCTTAAGGTGGATGACCTCATTTTAGCCATGACTTTATAGCAACCCTTTCTCAGATAGGTCCTGCGGCGAGGCTCTGGGGCTGACTCCACGGAGAACTCGGGGACACAGCCCTGCTCTCGGCCTTGGAGCTGCCATGGGCCCTTGCTTGTCCTGGCCAGGCCTCGGGCCTGCACGTGCAGTGCCCGGGCCTGTGAGGTCATCCCGTGGGGGACAGTGTTCCTTTGCGGCACTGATGTGACCCCCCTGGCTTCACCCTGCACTGTTTCCTGACCACCTGTGTCCCACACAGAGGCCTGGCACACAGCCCACTGGAGGAGGAGATGTGCCTGGGCCCTGGGGTGGCGTCAGGGGAGACGCTGTGGGCATAAAGCCACCTGGATGCAGAGCATGGGGCTTGCGCCTCTAGGGTAACCTGTCAGGTGGACTGGATGTCTGCGGCTGTGGGTCCTGTGCCCTGTGTTCCTGCAGTGGCCGAGGGTCCCTAGGTTGGTGTTTACTTGGCCCCACAGTGTATGGGGCACCACGCTGAGGGCCCCAGGCCCTGCTGCCTGCTCTGGGAATACGGACGTGCAGGGAGCTTGCACAGTTCAGCAGGTCCCGTGGGGGTGGCAGGGCGTTGCGGGTGTCCTGCAGTGCCCAGCTCTGCCTGCCTGGCCAGCCCCCAGGCCTTTAAACAGGGACAGCTGAGCAGGGTGGGGCTGGGCAGGCAACAAGGACAAGGCATCTGCTTGCTCCCGCCCGGTGCCCACCTCGCCCTGCACACGGCCAGTGGGATGCCTTCTGTGCTCCCTCCGCCTGGTGAGAGGACCCAAGTGACCTTTGTGACGTCCTTGCCACCCTCCCAGCCCAGGCTTTGGTGACCGGTGCTGGGGACGCCCTGTGTGCCTCCGGCTCCACCATTGCAAGGCACTCTCTGCCTTGAGGCCCAGTCCGTGGATGGAGCTGGAAATGGGTTTGCTTTTAAGGAAAGATATAGAAGGAGGCAGGAGGATCACAAGTTCAAATCCTGCTTGCAGAACTTAGGGAGACTCTGTCTCCGAAAGGGAGGGGATGTAGCTCGGTGGGAAAGCCTGGGGTTCACTCCCAGTAGCAGAGGTGGAAACGCAGAGGGACCTTGCCATTCCCATCATGCCTCGCTCCTGGTCTGAGGACCCCGGTGTCAGCAGGGCCCCTCATCCCGGGTGGAACCCCAGGACCCAGCTCGCAGTGGTAGCTGTTTGGGATTTCGGCAGCTGAGGACCCACTGCGATGCTGGCAGAGGGCACAGCGCCCTGCAGACGTCTCTGCACCCGGAGGAGGGTGTGCGGGCAGAGCGGGGCGGCACAGGCCAAGGAGGGGCAGAGACTCGGGTTGGTACAGCACGGGCCACTCATGGCCGGACCCCAGGAGAAGTGAGGGCCTCGGTGCTGAGTCTGGCTGCAGACACCGAGGGGCTCACTGCAAACAGAGGGAGAACCGCAGGGGTCAGGAGGGAGGGACGGGGCACGGACAGGCCCGGCGGCTGGGTGTCGGCAACAGGGAAACAGGTAAGAGGACGGAGAAACGGTCTCGGTGCCGACCAGTGCTCCAGGCCGGAAGTGATCACAGGGCAGCAGGTGGCTCAGTGGGGAGCGCCTGCCAAGCATGCCCGGGGCCCTGGGTTCCATCCCCAGCACCCAGGTAAAGGCATGAAGGAAGGAAGGGAAGCGGGGAGGGAGTGAGGGGAAAGTAGGGAAGGAAGAAAGACAAACTCAGTCAGTCCATCGAGCACAAAGTTGCAGCCAGGAATGATGCATAAAGACACACGGTCACATGTGTTCTCATAAAACTCCTGAGCAGGGCTGGGGATTTAGCTCAGCAGCACAGCGCCTGCCTGGCAAGCACAAGGTCGTGAGTTCGATTCCCGATACTGGAAAAAAAAAATAAAAATTAAAAAAAAAATAAAACTCCTGAGCTTGGAAGAAAAGCAAAAATCATGTACTTTTCCCTGATTCAGCTTCTCATTGCTAGAACAAGATACCCGAGGCAACAAACTTTGAGGAGAAGGCTCATTTAGCTGCCTGTCCTGGAGGCTCAGGGCCTGGCTGGGCGGGCAGAGGGTACTCGCAGAGTGTGTTGTGACCACATCAGACCAGCCACGCTGGGCCACTTGTCACCAAGAGCTGAAGACGTCGAGCTGATGTTTGCACAGCGCCCAGAGGAACAAGGGCCGGCTTGCGGCTCCACGGCCAGGGCAAGCAGCGATGGCAACCACAGTGCTGCCGGGCTGTGCGCGGACCAGGCTCTGGGTGAAACCTTCCCCGGGCTGGACCGACTTCCCTTCCTCTGTCTCTGTCTCTCTCTTTTCTTTCTCATAAAAGAGCTGCATCTGTTGTAAAGATGCCTGCATCAGAACTGGTACAAAATAGAGAGGTGTCCAGTGCCAGGCAAGCATGTGCCTGGCACTGTTGGTGCACGGGAAATGGGTTTGAAGATTGAAAGCATTAAATGGGAAAGAGGAACATTTTGAACCATTAAAAGAATGATTTGTGAATGAAATAAAATAACGAAGCAGTGTTCGACACTAATCAACTAATTAGCTCAGCCGCTAACAGAGCTGCATTGTTTAAATGTCTGAGGAGATCTTAATAAAAGCAGAGGTCCAGCTGGAGTGGTGGCACACGCCTGTCATCCCAGCACTCTGGAGGCTGAGACAGGAGGCTTGCTGTGAGTTTGAGGCCAGTCTGGACTACAAGGTGAGCCCAAGGCCAGCCTGAACTGCATAGTTAGACCCTATCTCAAAAAACGAAACAAAACAAAACAAAAAAGATAAAAGCAGAGGTCCAGGAGCGAAGGTGGTGCTAACCTCAGAACCAGCCCAACTTAGCAGATGCTAAACAAATAGGTCAGGTTCGGGAGAAACTGAACCCCATGACTCACTTGATACATCCATGAAACATCCATAGTTCAAATCTTTCTCAGGACACATCTTTTCAAAGACATGTTTTGGATTTCAAAACTAGAGCACCGTACTTAGGCACAAAGAAAACTTTAAGAACATCCGGGCCAGGGATATAGCTCAGTGCCTTGGCTGGCAAGCACAAGGTCCTCAGTTTGATGCACGATACCAAAAAAAAAGAGATTTTTTTGTTAGTCATGTTCTACACAAATTAGGAAGGATAAAAATTTGGCCCTTTTTCCCTCTCCTCCACAACCCCCTTTCCCCGTTTGGAGAGTAGGAGACACAGGGTTACCTCACCTTCTCTGTCTTGGAGGAGAGACCTTGCTGGCAGCAGGGGCTGGACAACCCTTTCCACATCACTTCTGATAGGCAAGTGTGGGCTGTGTGCAGCTCCGGGGCCGGTCTCACCGCTCCATGACCCCAGGGGCGGGTGCCCTCCTGGATGCTCTCCCCACACAGTTCTCCCCATACCGGGGTCCCAGTGGAACTGGCAGGGGTGGGCCCCCAGGCTGCATGGGCAGCCCTGCTTGCTTCCCATTGGTCAGAACACAGTCACATGATCACTCGGAGTCCAAGGGATGCTGGGAGAGAAAGTTTTTGTCCTGGCTAGGAATGTGCTCCGTGAAAACAAAGACTCTTATTACAGAGGGAACGGACTCAGGAAGACAGATCTGTACTACATTCTTGGAGTTTAAAGCAATGACAACTGAAACCAACGCATGGTAGAACAAGAGACTGAAAGTAAAGGAATCGATGGATCGCCCTAGGGGAGCATTTTACCAAGAGATGAAAGCAGTGGAGCTAGAGGGTAAAATAAAGCAAACAAATGGAGCCGGTAGAAAGTACTCACAACCCCAAGGCTGGTTCTTTAAGAAGACCCAGGGACTCGCTACACCCCTCACCCAGGGGGGTGAAATAAACCACCAAAGAGACAGAATGGGAAATGAGGGAAGAACTGAACTATTGTGCTGGGAGAGGTTCGGATTAGTTTTGAAGAAAACTTCATACAATAAATGCTTTATTCCACTTCATGTAAACCATCAATAACATGGAAGACCTGAGGAGGCGTGTAGGGAAAATATAAATAGGTGAAGCATGGAAAAATATGAATGTCATGGGCAGAGTTGACCCAGGACCAGGAGGGAAGCTGCCAGGCCCTGGGGGAGACAGGAAGTGGTCGCTGGGGCAGTGGGAGGGTCGGGCTTAGTGGTGGTGACTTCTTTGGGGACAGTGAGAATGTCCTGGAATTTGAGGGGCTGCAGCTGTACAATCACTCAAACCCAAGGAATCACATGCTTTAAAGTGGTGAATTTTATGTTCTGAGAATGTTATCTCCGTTGCGCAGCGAGGGAGTGAGTGAATGAGTGAGTGGAAGACAGTGGACACAGGCATCAGGCCCGCAGTGGGCGCTGCGGGGCGGCTGGCTGTCCCCAGCTGCC